TTTTTTTTTTTTTTTTTTGTAGAGATGAGGTCTCACAATGTTGCTCAGGCTGGTCTCGAACCCATGGATTCAGGCAATCCTCTCACCTCCACCTCTTAAAGTGCTGGGAATATAGACTTGAGTTACCGTGCCCGGTGACTAAGACCATTTTCATGGTGCTTCAAAATATAAGCTAGAATGATGGTGGGTCAAAGAGTGCAGAAGGGTGAGAAGTAGGGATAACTCATTTGGGAAATATGACTGAGAATGAGAGTGGAGAAATGGGAGCAGTTGGAGAGAAATGCAAACTAGAATATATATTATGCTCATGAAAATAGTATAGGCTGGGCCTGGTGGCTCATGTCTATAATCCTAGTACTTTGGGTGGCCAAGATGGGATGATAGCTTGAGGCCATGAGTTCAAGACCAGACTGGGCAACACAGTGAGACCACATCTCTACCAAAAGTTTTAAAAAAATAAACAGCATAAACAGAAAAAGAGAGAGAAATGATTCAGATGGAAGGGGTTAAAAGAAGGATGAATTCCTGGCATAGGCAATGGAGGTGACAATCCTTTATTTCATCAGTTGGGAGAGGAGCAAAGGAGATTTGAGCGGCAGGAGTACACTAGAAAGAGGGGGGAGTATTGGGCATTATGAAGAGACAGCTTGTGACTGTGAGGTCATGACTTAAAAAGCTGCCACCAGCCAGGCCCAGTGTCTCATGCCTAGAATCCTAGCATTTGGGGAGGCCGAGGTAAGAAGATTGCCTGAGCCCATGGGTTCAAGACCAGTCTGGGCAACTTAGCAAGACCTCATCTCTACAATAAATCAAAAAATTAGCCAGGCATAGTGGCACATGGTTGTAGTTCCTGCTACTTGGAAAGCTGAGGTGGAAGGATCGCCTGAGCCCAGGAGGTCAAGGCTGAGGTGACCAGGAATGTGCCACTGCATTCCAGCCTGGATAAGAGAGTGAGACTCCGACTCAAAAAAATATATATATATTTAAAAGCTGCCACCTTGATTGTAAGATTTTATCCAGTAACTTACAGGGTAAAGAAGGCAAATTGAATGGGACTTTATCATCTATTCTTCTAACATTAAGATCAACCTAAATGTTCACTAATGGCTGATTGGCTAAATAAAATATGGTACATATATATCATTGAATACTGCATAGCCATAAAAAAGAATGAAAGCACGTCCTTTACAGCAGCAACATGGATAAGGCCAGAAGCCATTATCTTAAGTGAATTACGAAGCAGAAAATCAAAGATCAACATGTTCTCACTTATAAGTGGGAGCTAAACAAGGGGTTTATACAGACATAAAGATGACAACAACAAGCACTGGAGACTCCTAAAAGGAGGCAAGTGAGGAGGGTGAAGGTGGAAAAATAATCTATTGGGTACAACGTTCAATATTTGGGTGATGGGTACACTAGACTCCCAGTCTTCACCATAACAACAATATACCTATGTAACAAACAAGCACATGTACCCTCCTGATTCTCAAATTTAAAAAAATAATAAAACGTAAATAAATAAAAGTGTGTGAGGCTTTTGGGGTGATGGTAGTTTTTGGATCTTGACTGTGATGATGGCTTTCTAGTGCAATTATCCATAAATATCCATCAAATTGTACATATTTTAAATATGTGGTTTATTGCACATTAATCATACTTTATAATAAAGTTTTTTTAAAAATAAAGATAAATAAATTAGAAAAACGGTGTGCTGAGCATCACAATGGAGGAGAACATTCTGTGACCCGGTCGTGATTCAGTTCAAAGAGACTTGCTACCTCTCCCTAAAGAGCTATGCCTGAGAAACAACATCAGAAAAAGGCACAGATGTGTTTTTGTTGTTGTTGTTGTTGTTGCTATGTTTCCTAACAAACCTAGACATATCCATGAATTAAAGTTAGTTTTCCTAACCAAAGATGAGAGAATAGGTCCTAGAATCATTAGAATTCTTGATTTGGCACTTATTGATTCTAAAATCTTAGGAATGAAGCTTACATCAAGCCTTGCTTTCTTCTACGGTAAAATGGGATTATAAACCGGGCTCAGTGGCTCAGCCTGTAATCCCACACATTTGGGAGGCTGAGGTGAGTGGATTGCCTGAGCTCACGGGTTCAAGACCCGCCTGGGCAGCGAGACCTCATTTCTACAATAAATCAAAAAATCAGCCGGGCGTGATAGCCCA